GCACGAAGTCTTTCATTTGTGCGAGAAGGTTTGTCTGGATCACTCATGACATCCAGTGTGGTCACTGGTTGGATTGTCTGGAATGAGCGCCGCGTCTGAGCTCGTTGCCTTCGCAATTCATCATAGCCATCACACAAAGTCGCTACTTCGGCCACAGTGCTAGGAGACTTCGCGGGAAGCATCTTGAAAACGTCATCGTCGACGCCCTTCATAATAGACTGTATTTTTGCACTCTCGCTCATGGAAGCATCGATGCGCCGGCAGAGGTCGATCACATTTTCTATATATGAGGTGAAATTTTCACCGTGGCTCCTGTGCCCGTGTGCGCAGACGTTGTTCGGCGCGTAGCTTCCGTAAGGCAGGGCGACCAAAAACGGCACATATCTCCTCCTTGAAGGCAGACCAGTTCGCGAAGTCGGTTTGGTGGTTCGTATACCACAGGTTGGCCACATTGCTGAAATAAAAATTGACAGTGTCCAACTTAGCAGCGTCATCCCACCTGTTGGGTCCACTGACTTCCTCGTATGACGACAGCCAGTCCTCGACATTCTGGTCTTCGGTTCCCGCAAAGATCGGGGGGTGTCGCTGGTCAACCAGGCCCGGGCATGTAGCGGCCGCGAAAGGTACTGTATGTTGGGCAGCGTCAACTTGAATGGTCGATGGCAGGGTGCGGGATTGGAGTTCCAGGGTGTAGGCGATGTGGTTACCCAGCACGATCTACCAAATGTAACGAGGTGTATTGGGCGAACCTAACGGGCAGGTGGCAGATTCGAGATATCGACAGGATGAGAAAGATGGTGGAGCTCGTGCGCCGATCTCGTGGTGCCTTACTCTGCGATGATGCCTGATATTCCCTGGTGCTGTTATCATTTCTTCGTTACATTACTAATGCATTAATAAAAACATGAGAACACGAAAGCTAGATAACAGATGGCACTCAACTGTTTCTTCTCGATTCTCTTTCGTGACTATAATTTTTCTTAGTTATCGGAAGAGGTTTGAGAATCGCTATTGTGCAAATACAGTCACAAGTCAGCAAGTTGTGCGTTAACTAAACAAGAAATATCTACAGCATCCAACTTTAACATCAAATGTTCTCAAGTCATTGCAAAACAAAATTCAGAGGAAGCAGCAGCCTTCACAAGAGGCAGGCGTGGGCGCCTCCAAGCCGAGTCTACTGCAGTAATATTTCGAAACGAGTGCAATATTCGTTACCAGCAAGCCTGTGCATTCCACTTTTCACATTAGTACGGGGAAGTATTATTCTGTATGAGCTAAGCTAGCTCACGCTGGGCAGAGCACGTAGTATTGCGGACCAACAAGGCAGCTTGATAGTGCAACCCATGGGAACGTTGTCATTATCATCCCCTGGATATCATTTTAGCGTGTGTGCGGGCGAGACAGTTCGATACGCGTGACAATATAATGCGGCTTAGAAACTTCGTATTTGAAAGCTCTTCATAATGAAAGCGCCGACTGAAAGCTCTGGCGCGGGTGGCAAGGTTCCAAGGAAAGTGCGAAATCCTGACATCTAGAGGGCGCAAATTTAGCTCAGTAGTTCCTGGGCTGACGTTCAGCAATGCGGTCTTGTGCATGAGATCAGAAGTTCAAGCAAGATTAGAAATTAAGCAACGTGGAATAGGTAGGCTTGCTTTAGGAGCTCACGGGAATACACCAAATCAGGGAGTACAAGGTGATATGGGATGGGCATCATTTGAGGGCAGGGAAGCTAGCAGCAAGATAAAATTTGAGAAGCGATGGAGAGAAATGGGGGAAGAGCGTTGGGCTAGGAAGGTTTTCAGCTACTTGTACATGAAGAATGTCGATACAAAATGGAGGAAGCGAACCAGGAAGTTGACTGGTAAATACTTAGAAAACAGCAGGTGGCCAAACCAAAAAGAACTATCGGTTAAGAAAAAAGTGAAGGAAACGGAGACTGACATGTGGAGAATGGGCATGATTAAGAAGTCCGCACTAGAGATCTATCGACCTTTTAAGCAGGAAATTGCCAAGGAAAGGATCTATGATAATACTCGGGGTAGTTCTCTACTGTTTGAGGCCAGGACGGGAGTACTGCGAAGCAAGACATATCGGGCCAAATACGAAGGGGTCGACACAGTATGCAGTGCGTGTGGAGAGGAAGAAGAAACTGCCGAACACTTGATAATGTTCTGTAAAGGGCTTCACCCTATAGTTCAGGATGATGGCGCAGAGTTTTTCAAAGCACTGGGATTTAGGGACAGCGAGGGCAAAATAGACTTTAAGTGGGTAGACTTAACTAGAAGGAGGTTATCTGATTGGTGGCTAAGGTCAAGGCACGAGTGAAAATTAAACCCTTCACTGCGAAGTACGAATCCTCAACTTCATTATTTAAAGGAAAAAAAAAGATAAATGTAACGGTTAGTTCACTAAGTATTACGGCTAGGTGGCATTAGCCGCCGCCCGATCTAAAGGGTACAGCCACATCCATCCATCCATCCATCCAGTTACCCAAAATTCTGGGTGCCAGTCGTAGGCTTAAATAATTGGACGTCAAGTGTATGTTGCTTTCATATTCATTCTGTCCCGAGGCGGACATTCTCACACTAATTACAGAGGCACGGTCAGACTGAAGCTAATAGCTTTTGTGAAAGCGAGCCTTGCGAAAAACACAGTTCTGTGAGAGAGGCTTTGACATTTTGTAGTAGAAATTCTTTTGCCTCACAACAATAAAACATTAGGCGAATATATTAGTGCTCATTTCACTTGTCTCCGAGGCCAGAGAATGGATGCTATACAGGTGGCGTGATGGTGTTACCCTTTTATTGTGATAGCATTTTTATGGACACTCTCGACTGATCTATGCCATGATGGTTGCCGTCATCGTTATGTCCCGGTTATGTATCGGCGTGTTTATACAAAAGCCACCAAGACGTATATGCAAAATTTGCATAGCACCTGACTGGTTATTATAATCAGTGCCTTCTCCACCCGCAGCCCGCTGAGCTAGACAACACAGCTATGCCCCCCGCTTGTGCCGGCGTTATAAGGGTGGCCTAGTTTTCAGTCATAATTTCCCGCTAGTAGTACGAAGACACCAAGGAGGAGCTTCATCACGTGTTACATCACAGAACGCTTCCACATTTTTTTTTTCAATTTCAAATTTGCCCTTGTTGGGACGTTAAACCCCACATATCAATCAATCAAATTTGCCCTTGAGACACGCAGAGCAAGTGACCGCCTTGTGGACCGATTCATGATTGTACCAATTTGCATTGCGTCAGACGCCACTATGTGGCAGCAGAAGCAAAGGGTTTTTCCGCGTTCTGCAGATTGAAAGATAAAACCCCATGTGGATGCGAAGCAGTGGGGAGACGGTTCGCTTGAGCGTGCGATCGTGTAGTATACTGAGTGCTTATGCTGTCACTAACTCAAACAATGGCGGTGGCGTTTACGCTGGCGCTTATCGTGGCAATGCCATTAAGAGGAGGAAGCGCGCGCACTGTCTTATTTTAAACCACGCAACTACCATGCCAACCCCAACGAGGTATGCAAGTGTCTTACCACCCACCATTCGTACCGCTGCGTAGAGTACATGATTCCTAGAAGATAAAGTGGGGGGAGTGTAATAGAGAAGAAAGGAAGGGGACGCGCATAAGCAGTAGGGGTGCGGACGCTGCCTAAAGTGAACTACGGAAGGACACAGCCCCCCCCCCTCCCCCATAAGATGCTTCAGATCTCAAATGAATATGAATCAACGTCGACTTGTGCATTCTGTACACTCGCAGCGTGCCACTCAAACAAAAAGACGTAACAACAGTGACAGTTGTTAGTGCATACTTGTCCTGTGTATGCCCTTACAGTGTTTTTGAGCGTCCATCTTTGCGCTGCAGTGGTGTGCTACAGGTATGTGTTGTCGATATACGTGTGAAATTCTCCTTCTTGCCATCACACTCATAGCCCAGCTTAGTGGCAAAACTATTGATTTACTGTTAGGCCGAATGTAGGGCGTTTTTCGTAAGCACGCATGAGACATGACGACTAAGCTAAGAGAAAGGTGGGCACTATTTTCAGGAGACAGGTGCCAACTGTTGCGTTATGTTGAGACAATCGGTGCTTTCTTATAACAAATGAGCTGTCTAAACGCGCTTCTGACACTGAAAGCGACAAGGAAGTTAAATATAAACTGCGGGATGAGCACTTGCCATATTATTTGAGCATCTGTATGCTGACACATGCCTGATTAATTAACCGTTTATTCGTACTGCTGATACACAGAAGTACGCCATGTGCATATTATGGTGACGAGAATATCTTACAAAGTGCACCGTGCTGATTTTAGGTCGTGTTTCTGCAAATAAATCATGAATGATAACTCATCTGAAACAATATTGTGTCGCCATGGCAAAACAGTAATTTCACAGTGCTTACAGTGCACCGTGCTGATGTTAGGTCATGTTTCCGCAAATAAATTATGAATTATGACTTAACTAAAAAAAGACTCGCGTCGCCTTGCCAACACAGTAATTTTGCAGTGGTTGATTTAGTTTTCAGCGTAGTCGGCCGCTTCAGCGGATTCATGACTTAAATGTACTCAAATGTTTTATGTACGAGTAGATAGTCTTTAAAACGTAGTACTGGTTTTCTAGTATTTATATCAAGATTTCCCTATTTGTTTCCGACTACTACTGCTGTAATTGGGTTCCTGGCCAGGGCAGTGGACCAACTGGAAAGCCAAACTTAAACTGTGAATAAAGTATTGTTCAAAGGGCTCAACTAGTCATTGTTAAAGTAAGCTTTTTGAAACAGCAACAAAATTCAAAGCCAACATGACAAGTAAACGCAGAGAGCTAATAAAAAGGCGAAGCCTGTGATTGGTTCAAGTCGTTTCCGCAAGAATATAAGAGCTTGCAAATGTTATCATGTTCTGGCTTCTATTTCAGAAAACAGAAACAAATGAAGATCTTTCACGGATTCAGTTTATTGTTTTGGGGCTTACTTGTATATCTCCTCACGTTGGAATGCACTTCGGCAGTTTCCCTAAGACGCCGCAGGGGGTGTACGTATTATCGTTTTTTTTTGTGTGTGTGTGTACTAGCAAAGCTCACATTGCATGTAACATACGCAATATTATTAGAACTTCTCATTGTATTTTAATATGTCGCATTTTCAATAAGAACTAACACGCAATATAGCAAAGGAAAGTATATAAGTAATGCTAGTGGAAGTAACTGTAATGTAATGTGCATTGTAAAAATGAATGGTCCTGAGCCATATGTCTACCGAAAATTGAACCCTTTAAACCAATTACATTTTTCTACATTCTAAGCGAGGAGCTCATTTTAGGTGACTTGATGCCTTGTGGTAGTATACAAGAAATTCTTGATTCAGCTGCCTAGCTTTTAATAGGATTGTGTGCTACCTCACACAAAGAGGCAAAAAAAGTAATACATATTAAAAGTAGTGGCTACTGGAGGCACTGGTTTACGCTTCCACTTTAAGTGCACACATATTCTCCATAATATTACCGAGACGATGACCGCCACCGTAGCTGACAGGTAGAGCATCGGGCGCGTTATTTCAAGTTCGCAGGTATGGTTCTGGCCAGCGTCAAGTTGTTCCTTCGTTCAACATTCTTTCTCCCCCCTTACTTTTTAAATACTTCCAGTTACATCAGCTACAATTTTTTTACAGTATTCTCTGTTCCTAATAATGTTGTGTCTCACAAAGAAAACGAGCCATCGAAATTTACACATCCCTTCACTATATTCTCGCATAGGAATAAAAGTGATATAAACAATTCGAGCGCTAGCTATGCGATGACACGAAAGATAACGTCTTGCTGTAGGCGTCGTATTCCTTAACCACTGCCTCTTTGAGTGACAAAAATATTGGGATTACAACAGTACTACTGATGGCATGACACGCGCAAAGTTACAGGCATTCAGCAAAAGTCTAGGGACTGGAACTGCTATAGGTAAGTCATACAAACCAAAACAAAACAAAACAAGAGATGCATGTAATAGTCTTCTGCTAGATTCATTGTACTTACGAATACTCTATTGTCGTACTAACAAACGGTCTCTCAAGTGGTAAACCCATTCATCAAATCTTCTCACTCCTCTGTTGCGAACGGGGGCTGTTAACAAAATCACCAGCACGAAACGAAGTAATACTGGTATCACAGCATGCAGATATATATCGTCTAGGCTATCGTTAAAGTTCTTTAAATTCGCATACTGAAAATTTCATACAGGTATTTTTTACAACATTTGTAATTGACAGGGCAAGATGCGACATCTGAGTTTATTTTTATGAATGCCAATGCTTGGGGTACGTATAATTTTTGTGTTGACGTCATTAGGTGGTATATATAAAGCCTATCTATATGCACATGTACTCACATTATGGACACGGACTTCTCAAATGAAAGTGTATTAGCCTGTGCTTGATAACAGATCGAGATGAACATATTGTGCCGGTAAATACAGGACTCTTATAGGAAATATCGCTTTGATCAGACTTCATGCAGCGATGTCACGTTTACGTTACAGAGTGCAGAAAAAATAAGTTATTTGCATTTCGAAGGCTTCAATCATGATGCGTCATGTGAGCACTGTACAGTTATCAGAGACATTTAGGCCATGATTGTAGCTGATGTGCTGACCAAAATGTGACGTACGGATTTGCAATATCTTCCAGCTTCAGGAGGATCAATTGCTACTAGTTCTTTTGTGCTCGTCCACTACAATAAGGCGCTATTCCTACCGCGAGATTACACAGAAGGTAAAGCTCTGTGTCAGTCAAGAAGAAATGCTCAGTCATAGCACACAATATCCGTTAGGAACATTCTAAAAAGAGGCAGGCTTCGCACTCAAAGAACGCAAGGGTAGCATTCCCATGTATTTTAGAGATATCTTTCAAGAAAAATAGTTCACATGGGACAATGTGAGTGGAAACTATGAAGAATCAACGATAAAATTAACATTTTAAAAGTACAAACTTAAAAAGATCACTATTCATTATCACTCTGTCCTGAAGCAACAAGTCAGTCGCAAGTAACTAAAAAAATATACTAATAGATAAGGTATTGTTTATTTAGTGCCTCCACTGGTACCTTGTTCAGATAAGTGTTACAACGAGAGTATTTTAGGTACATTCCAGCCACGCAATCACGCGAGGACCAAGAATAACCAAAAGAGCTACCTAAGCTGCCCTGCAGCTCCTGATATAAAAAAATCAAGTGCTGAGTGTGTATGTCTCACGCACGATTATAATCGTCATCTTCCTGGTGTGCTCTCGGCTCAGTGCTGTCCAACACGTGATCGACAGGCTACTCTCTGTTCCCATCTGCCTCTGTGATGATAAAATGGCTGCCCTGGTCATTCCCTTCTTTGTCGCCAGCGATCTTTTCTCCTTGGAATAGCTGACCTCATCGCCATTGTCCGCCGTGGTTTTGCACCATGCTCATCACCTTCGGCATTGGCATGTCACAAGACGGTACACTTCAACATATCAATCACTCTGTCTCGTCGGGTGTTCTCAGCTGGAATGTATTACTGACGCTTTCCCTAGCCGCGATGGCCGAAAGAGCATTTCACTAACTCAGCAGCTTTTCGCCAGTCACAAATATTCAGGACAGAAGACGCAATTGTCCAAATAGTTACTGGCCGATGTTTTCACCACCATGTCTTTGAACAATTATTTGCGTGTTTCGTGCCGTAGAATCGCCCAATACTCCAGTGGCATTATGTGTTTGGCAATTCTGTGGATGTGTTAATGATGATCAGAGCTTCCATGTTGGTAAAACAAATGGTCTGAGTCTGGGCTCTGGTAAATCTATTCAAGGTAAACCAGCATTCCCGATTTTAATCTCGGAGGTAGTGGCTGATGGTCACAAACGCTACGCCGCATGACAGTACGTGGCGCAGAAACACAGTTTGGCATCATTCCACCACGCGCTCCAGATTCCGCCAACTTTTGCGGTTGATATAAAGTACGTTTTCTGCTGCGGTCACAAAGCTTCTGTTGAGGTCAAAGACACCAACAACTCGTCACTAGATGCAGTAACCACTAGAAGACAATGAGTTTTTACTGCGCAATGCTTACCCAGCGAAGCTACAGCATACAGAGACACCAACAATGTCGCTGTTTGCCGTCGCATCCAACCCTAACGATCACGTCAAAACACTGGACCTCCATATTTTCGTCATCAATTCCCACCACCGCCGTCAACACCACCTCTTCCACCTGCTGGGCACCGCTGCGCACCGCTGACCACCGACGCGTGGTACGCCCTTAACCATCATCCGCGGTGCTATCACTGTAGGGAAATCTGCCCAAGCTATTGTGACTGCCATTAACGTGATACAGAACTGCGTGGCTTTTGCGTGAACGCACACGTCCACACAACGTTGATTGATCTCACAACATAGCGGACTACATCCCAGAAGCTCAGTGGACACCGCGGGGACCTTCGCACTTTCTTTCACCAGGCCACTAATTCTCACTGCAACATGCTCATTACCACTACCCTAGCGGGCAATGTTCAAGTAGACCGCATCCGGAAAACTGAAAACAGCAACTGAAAGAAGTGCGGCTGCTCTTCATCGCAATGCGAAAGATGTTTGGCCCACCACGAGTTCGTTTGTGGGTTGCACCTGCGTATGTGAGCTGAATAACCCTTAGAACGTCACGTTTCCTACTTGTTGCTATGATTTTTCTTATATTCATTTAACCTTTCTTGTAATTTACGTTTTTCTTGTATACTTAGTTATTATAGCAATGCAATGCGACGCGCGCTCTATGTAACTAATTCGTTGTACGTATAACCACTATCACAAAGTAACAATCTCAAAATAGGGAAAATAGCCAGTTCTTCTGAATTTTTATAGTTTAAAACTGTGCACGCCTCGTGAATAATGGAGATTATTTTGAAACTAACACAGTACGAAACGGTATGCATTTAGGTTATGTTAATGCTTCTTATGTTGCACTAACTACTTTACAGTGAAAAACTATTCTTAACTTTATCTGTGTACAGAGTGAATTGCTTGTACGTTGACTTTTCAATGGCCGTGAACTAGTACACCCAAATGAAGTGCCCTGTTTTTTAGGCTTTCTTCACTCTTGTTCACCATTCCTAGTTCGGTTACGTTATTACAGAAAAATGTGATGGTAAGTCGATGCTTCTTTGCGCTTAAGTGCAGTTATGGCTTACTGTATTTTTTATTTGTTTCGCCTTGATTGCAACAGGTATCTGAAGTTTTTAGGTGTTAAGTAGAATAGGCAATTACTGATGTGTAATACTCAATTTATTATCTCAAAGACCCACGACACGGCCAAACAATGAGCTCACCGGCGTATCGGCATCGTGGGAGAGGTACGTATCTTCCGTGCATATAAACATAAGAAAGTGTTTTTCACTTAGTATATTTCATTCAATCCACGATCATACATGCCAACTGCATGCCATCGACCGTCGCTAAAGGCATTTTTATGAGCTCAGTCTTCCGCCAAAGTTAGCACGTAGGCAATTTCGTAAGCTAATTGCAAAATACTAACTTGTCCAGATGCCGAGAGTAACATATTCGTGAACAAGAAGTTTCGAGGGCCTCACTTCACAGCGTCTGTACTGAAAAGCCCTAAAAATTGAATGTACATTTTCCTTACGCGAAACTTCGCCCTTGAAAGTATTCTACACAATGGCGACTTCAGAATTTATACAGTCCGCAATTCTCGCTAGTAATACTAATTGTATGACATTCGTACGAAAACAAAAAAAAACATAAATGGTCATTACCTATTCACAACGTTTGATCCAAACGCTTCAATACTGGACGACACCTGGTCGCTGATAGTCCTTGTTTAGCTGTTAACTACTCTATCGTTATTTTTGATAGGGGTACGTACCTCAAAGAAATGCGCATCAAGGCCAATATTTCATTTTCATGAAGTAAGAAAGTTCCCAAAGTAATGCTTCTTTTACAATTTCATTTAGCTAGGTCTATTTTAAGCAAAGTTTCGCTGATTGCTTGCGACGTATACACTAAAATTAACGGGGAAGGGCTCTAAACTTCATAACCCTATGGGCACTCACGCACTGTTCATAGGATGTCCGACTAATTTTGAGCGAAGCTCAGGCACGTTGTTCCATTCTTTTATCTAGTTTATTTATTTATTGACTACCCTAAGTGTCCGGATGGCATTCAATAGGGGTGGGGGGAACTAATCACAAATAAAATACAACCACATTTCAGGAATGCAGCAATTGAAAAGGAAAACTAGAAATATAATGCAGAACCAATAACATTTCACAAATGAACACAATCAATGTCAGTATAAAATACGATTAGGTGATCAATTGAAAAGTATTATCACGCTCGAGAAAAGAGCGGAGAGCTAATTGAAAATACTGAAGTTCGTTGATAGTGGCATTGCTAGATGACAGTGAATTCCATTAAACTGTTGATAGAGCAAGAGGAGAATTGCGGTATTTATCATCTATCTATCTATCTATCTATCTATCTATCTATCTATCTATCTATCTATCTATCTATCTATCTATCTATCTATCTATCTATCTATCTATCTATCTATCTATCTATTCGCCTATGCCTGAGTGCTCTCTTTCCCATCTTCATAAATTGCAATACACTAAAACTGGGATAGCTTTAAAATATTGTATGGCGATTATGGCTTGCTAACCAGCACATGAATAGTGGGACTATGCTCGCATTTCGCCTTCAAGGGATCAAAGTGATAGCTTAACGGGTGCCAATGCGTAGCCTTAAATTATGTTGCAATTAAACGAACGTTTTTGCGCAAAACGTTGTTGGTTTCCAACTGTCCTATGATGTCTCCTGGATGTGCAGTTCCGAGATGACCACTAAGTCATGATAGCTTCTTTTGCTGACCACCGCGTGCACTTGCGTAGCTACATATTTTGTACTGTGCACACGGCTTTAAACCAGCCGTTCACTGAGCAAGGCACATGATTGACGCCTTGTGTTATTATGGAATTCTATGACGCAATATATTGTGCGTTAAGAAAACTTTTTTCCGGACAGAAATATTTTAAACAATGTTTTTTCCAAATTAGCTTAGAGCAAACGCGTGACCCTGCGAAAAACATGTTGCTCCTTACCACGCCGAAGGCGTAGGTGCGATTCTCGCCTTGTACTTATTGATCTACTTCTATTTTTCTTATTTTCATATTTTTGTCCTTCTTACAGAAGATGCTCTTTTCATCACATGGAACCATGCCCACGGCAACGCCGATGCCCACACCAAACGTTTTAAGAAACGATCTTGTTACCGCTATTACGTAAATAACGCCAAATAGATTGCCGTGCATATCATGTAACTCCATCGCTCACTCACGTGGGGCAAATACCCGCTTACGACATAGCGGGTATCCATCACAGCTTAGTAGCAGCCCTAATCAACACGGTGACACTTAACATAGACATTCAAGATTTCGTTAGATCTCGCGCATTGTAATCATTCCTTATCATGATCCCTCATTGAGTGTTATGCAACGGCTGAGTCATTGTTGTAGTATTGGCACTACACTGTAAGCAAAAAACTACCAAGTTGGGGGTTTTTGCGGCTCATGACCTCTGAAAACTCTCTCGCGTTTAAAATTACTACCTCGTGTAGGAGTAAAAGATGGTACATGACATAGTTTTACCACCACCTCTCAGGCAAGTAGTAAAAGGATGTCAAAATCCAGTTTTACCACTTGGGGAGTTTTCCATCACGTGACTTTTAACCTGCGTTTCGGAGTTTATTACCACGTGATTGCAAGGTGCAGCTGCTTCGTCGGCTTTCGCCCCATACCCCCCTTGTGACGCTCTCAGTGAATCTTGAAGGTACGCGAGGACCACAGATGTTTTTTTGTGGTTTTTTTTGGCATCGCCGTGCCTCAGGACTGACCTCAAGTAGCGCACTTTTACTAGAACTGGGCGCAGCATAGGCACAACAAGCGAGAACAGCATTCTGTGAACGAAAAAAAAAAGACAGGGGGGGCTCTCAAAAAAGAAAAAAAGAAGAAAGAAAACCTGCTGTGGAAAGTTGTCCTGCATATTTTCGCAAAATGTTGGCTTTTGCTCGGCGGTGGCCTTGGAGACAGACGGTGCAAGAAGCTCGGTATCTGTGTGTCTGGTTGGGCTGATGGATTTCACGTGCTTCCTACATCATCGAGTGACCGTGCGCTTCAGAGCGCCTCCGAACCTTCACGTCGCGGATATCTCGCTTCCGAGCCGAATCGCGAAGATCTGCCAGTGGCACAAAATCAATCTGGCGTCATCGTCCGTGATTGCCTACTGGAGAAGCAATAAGTGAAATGCTTCACTCTGTCGTCGGAACCGAGCCGCGGCCGCCAGTGTCCAGTGGCAGTGTGTCGCCGGGGCAGGTGAAAGAAGCATCGGATATATTTTTTTCCACAGTAGGCGATGTCTGCATGAGTAAAGTGCGGCCCGAATCGCCCGCCTCATGCACCAACTGTTCTCAAACAAGTAGCACGAAGCCGATAAGAGGCAGACGGAACCAACAAGCGGCTGCCGGTGAGCACGAAGAAAACCCGGACGGTGGTCTTTCGTTGGAAGTATGCATACACCGACCCGTCCCCGTAAGATTGCCGTCAAGTGTTCATTTGTGTCTGAAATGACGACGAGATTCGCACAGGATATGTGTTCTGTGATCGCCAGCTGTGTTTCATCAGATAGCCGTGCTCCTCCAGAAGGCCTAGCACGCCATCGGTAAGCAGCTTGTATGCTGGCGTGGACCGCTCTTCTACGCCCGTTGTTATGAATACGTGCTGCTACTGTGTTTGTGCACCGTCGCTCAGTGAAAATCATTGAGCTAGAGTGGTTTGTGCGTACTTAGGTATATTTTATGGACTTGTGCATCAGCAGTGCTAACACGCGTGGGGCCATGAGCCCGGTGCGCCAAGTAATTATTGGATAATCAAAAAGGTGAGATCGGGTAAATTTATAATAAAAGGTCGGTGTGACATTTAGTTCCCTGCAGCCCACCTTAAGTTTACGCTTGCACCTTCAACCGTTGTTGTTAATCGATGCAAAAAGAGCTCTCCTACCGGTACTACACGGCCGGTCAAAAAGTCGTGCCTATATATACCGTGTTGTCGTAGTATAGTCGAGCAACGTGTGCAGTCTGTTCGAGTGTTGTATTATTGTGCGTTTGTAGTGTGTGCGCGTTTGTCTGTATGTGAATCAATGTGTCACCAATTCTGCCGTTTAATAAATTCAATCAATTCTGCCATTCAATAGATTTGTCGACTCTGGGTGAATGCACCCGTCAATTTTTATTTTTTTACCACTGGAAATAACTCCCAGGAATCACCTTTAAAACCTTGTGAAGGCAGTAAAGATTTACTCTCTCTATACTCGCTCAAAAACCTCTCTGGGGTAAATATTTTACTACACTCTCTACGTTCAAAAACTCAGTTAGCACGAGAGTAAATTTTTACCTCGATAGTAGGTGATAAAAAAACCCAGGAAAGGTAGTGCGCTAGAGGACAAATGGTTTACCCAAATTTTGAGGTTATTTCAGGTCATTTTCGTTTAGTGTGTACGCTCTTGCAGTACATATTTAGTTTATAAAATAGCGTCGAATTCTTTATATAAATACCAAAGTGAACATAATATTAGTTCACCACAAACAAAGGCCAACTTGGCGAAGCTTGCTCAAGCAAACAGCCAGCACGTGGTCTATCAACATTCCAATTCATGTATGCGGTGCACTTTGCACACTAGAACGCCGCAATGCTATCTCTATTTCCTTTCACGCCTGGTCGTTGCACTACATAACATACGTATTCTATGTGGACACGGCCTCACAGACCCCGGTAACACGTCCACGATAGAAGGAATCATTGGTCATTCCTTCGCGGCAAAAATTGAGAATTTCCAACAGTAGTATTGTACCTCGTTCTTCCCTACGCATCGGTCGTCGTCACCGCTATAAGGAATGAATGCCATAAAGAGTTCTGACGACCTCCATTTGCCGTAGGTTGAGTAGTGCATTTTATGGCATGGAAAACAGGGATAAGAGCCCAGCTTTCAACTTTATTAAACGTCTGTTCAGCTTATGGTGGTCAATGGTGTGGGTAATGATGAGCTACTTCAAGAATTGCCGAGGACCCTTCCACGCATTTGCAGGGGAAATTGTAACGTGTACGTATCTACGGTCATTGTGGGAAAAATAAAAACGCTGCAAGCCAGCTTGCCAATTATGTTTTTCGCAAACCCCAGTGCCCTGTTGGCATCGTTTTGTAGCTATGAACTAGTTGAATACCACATGATACAGTTGAACCCAAGTGCGTCCACATAACTTTTATGCATATCGTTAGGCCCCGCCGCGGTGGTCTAGTGGCTAAGGTACTCGGCTGCTGACCAGCAAGTCACGGGTTCGAATACCGGCTGCGGCGGCTGCATTTCCGATGGAGGCGAAAATGTTGTAGGCCCGTGTGCTCAGATTTGGGTGCACGTTAAAGAACCACAAGTGGTCGAAATTTCCGGAGGCCTCCACTACAGCGTCTCTCATAATCATATGGTGGCTTCGGGACGTTAAACCCCACATATTGATCAATCAGTCAATACATACAGATTGTAAGAATCACTTTGCAACATTTCCTTAAAAAGATTACACCACAGCTTATTTCTTGCCACATGGTTCGCGGAACATGAACTCGCATGGTACGCGGCGTTAGACAAGTACCTTTGTTTGGGCTAGCTGGTTCATAGTACTCACTTAGACAGGGCAGTGCAAAAAAACGAGGGGAAAAAAGGACAGTAGAGATAAAGAGCGGTCTTTGTCTCAACTGTCCTTTTTATCCCGTGTTTTTGCGCTGCCCTATCAGCGCGGGATTAGCCAAATTGTTTGCGTATTTTTTGTGTTACTGTTGGTAATGTGAAAAAAAAACATTTGGCTCATTATTTCTAATAAGAGGTGCACCAGCGATATCTTGTTTTCACTCAACCAGTATGACCATTTGTGATAGCACGCAGTTTGGTTTAAACCACTTGTCGGTGTTCACGCTACTGAAGTGTAAGTGGACAGAGCAGGCGATATGTTGTGGGCCCGTGTACTCAGGCTTGGGTGCACGTTAAAGAACCCCAGGGAGTCTAAATTTCCTGAGCTCTCTACTACGGCGTCTCTCATAATCAAATCGTAGTTTTGGATTGTTAAACCTCACAAATCAATCAAATCAGACAATCGGTGGTACAGAGCAAGAAGTGGTACCATATATCAAACTTAGTTGTCTTACTTTTTGGTTAATCTTCATAGTACGTATGAGAAGTTGCCTGCCACGTTTTGACTACATTCATGTGCGAACAGCGTTAGATCAGTAAGTACAAGGAATCGATAACATTTATGAAAATTATTATGTTCATCTCATTCTGTTGCAGGAGCCCAGTTCGAACGTGCAGTAATACCCCAGGTACATTCATATAACCCATTTACCAGTACGTATCTCTCTCACATAAAACCCCGAAAAAACCCCGTACTTTTTTTGGATGTACTAAGGAGATCTGGAAAATATTGTGAGGAAATAGAAAACCGCAAAGTTTATTTGAGCCATCCTGATTTCATTAACGTTTTCTTGCATTTCAAGAGCAGGCAGTTTGATCAGACATCTTCATGTTATGCGTTGCTACCGTGCCCAAATGCCTTCTATAACACAATGCACAGCGTCATAGTGCAAATTATGAAACTGCATAACGCTAGCTTTATCATGCACGTCACTTGTAACAACTGTACCTTACACGCTGTGAATGAGCGTCTCCTAAAGCTGCTTGAATTCCTTAACCTGCCCTTTGAAAAGGCGCACACTCTAAACGCGCACTCCATTTAACACAACTCAAGCACCCAAAGGTTATGGCAATTACATACCATATCCAGTGAGTGCACATGGCGTCTTAGGTGGGTGACCTTGTTTAGGAGCATTATGGCTGAACAGTGCAAACAACATGAATAATGAATGCATGAATTATTCAAATTCAAGTGAAAAAAAAAGAAAAATTACACTTCAGAATGAGAGAATAAAGGCATTCATGCCGGACGAAGTCCCCCCACCAAAAAGGTCCTCCCATCAGAACACGGGAATACGGTTTAAGAAAACTACACAGTGCTGCGTCCAGTTTGTCCACTGCACCGTTTGTTGTGCTAATCGGCCAAATCTAAAAAAACATTCAGCCTTGTGCGCCAACTGTACCGTTTCCACGTGAAGTTCGGTGTCTAACTTTTGGAAGTCTGCTGTATTGTAGTATTTCTGTTTCAAAACAAAATATAACTAATGCTTCTGCCTCTTACTATCTACTACCCGTTCATTTACACATTTAGTGAACTGATCATACCAATTTGTATAGTCTGCTAGCAACTGAAATTCACAAATAAAATAAGCTTTGGGGCAATAGGCTATTGTGAAAAAAGAAATGCTTGTGGCTTCTTGGAATGAAACTCTGACGTTTAAAGACGCGTTTGTTGGTGGCAATCAAGCTATCATGCACGAAGGTGCCTAGGAGCTGAAAACAGGCAAAGTACTCAAAAAAGACTAAGCATGAGCTCAGTGCTTTCATGGACTCGTACACACTCGCCTAAATTTCTGTGCAAGCAACCATCACACTGAAAACTGTAATGCAGCGTAGAGCAACGGAAATAGTTTGGAAATATGTTATTGTTATGAGTTTGTTAATAAATGTAATAGGAATTTTTGGCTTCACAGTTTTTTATTTCGTCAAGAGGTGTTAACTCTTTACTGACTCGTGCTTAGCACCGGAACGCATATTTTCTGACGTTAATGATTTGTTCCCTCACAACTTGAATTATTGTTGATTTGCAAATGTAACTGTCAAGATAAGGTGTCATGACAGAGGCACCCAGTTTGGTGGATGCTTTCTCATCTATGTGTGCCGAAATGATGGATGTATCACATTCTACCAGAAAGAGCATGCAGCATGCCATTGAGAAAACGGTGGTATATTGCGTTGCATGGAGGTCTGTCAGCATTTGAAGCTCGCAGTTCAGGCACATTTCTGTGGTTAATACATACACAGGCAATGAGTATATGTTTACTCTGCCATAAATAACAACGCAATTAGGGCACAGCGAGTTGCGTATGTAATATTGTGGCACATGAGTAAGAAAGAAAGAAATGTTTACTCTAGTATTACACGGGTTCTGTTGTACCACCTTAAAAATGAGCCTGATAAACATTCAGAGATGACACCTTGCCCGAGTCACTCTAATATAATCGCATAAATTTCCAGGCATTTCATCGAAATAACCTTAACCTACAATATTGCAACTAGACCTGGCTAGTCTCACGAACAGGCCCCGTCGCGGTAGTCTAGTGGCTAACGAACTCGGCTGCTGACCCGCAGGTTATCGGATTGAATCCCGGCTGTGGTGGCTGCATTTCAGATGGAGGCCGAAATGTTGTAGGCCCCTGTGCTCAAATTTGGGTGCAGGTTAAAAAACGCTAAATGGTCGAAATTGCCAGAGCCCTCCACTAAGGCGTCTCTCGTAATCACATCGTGGTTCTGGCACGTTAAACCCTACATATCAATCCATCACGCTCTTTAACAAAGATTTGCTCTGAGTCGGCGTTACAATCTAGAGGCATTCCCTTCTGCCCACTGCATGCTAAAATTTGTTTCCCTCAATTTTATGATATCCCATGCACGTCTGTAGTACCGAATCTTCCTTTTATCTCATTGAGAACACCCTATGCATGACACCATGCATTGAAGCCCGCTGACGTGCAGCAGCTGTAATGTTCAGATTTCTATGATTTGGTATCTACACATTTTGCCTAAATGTCATGGTGCTTGTAATTTTTATGTACTTTTTTTCGCTCAGCTTAATCTGGGACGCACCATTTGTCCACCCCGTTGTACCACATTTGTAGACTATTAAATCAATAATAAGCTTTCTAAATGGGTTGCTGTATATTTCATTTCCTATATTACAGGGAAAACACGCAAACGATCAGCAAGCGTTACACTGCAACAGTGGCAAGGTAGGTTGAGTGCATTTCATGCTACACTTTGAGATTAACAATCTGGTAATTCGTTCAATTCATTTCATTCGTTTCAAACATGGTGGATATGACCTGTGAAGCAGCAACCCTTCGTTAGACTATTCTGGTCCACTTAGGTTTACCATGATGGCGTGAAATAAATCGTTTCTCAGAAATCGCGACGTCGGCATCGTTCATCATCATCATCATTCTATGCGTGACCGAAAAATTGAGAACAATGCAAATAAAATAAATAAACGATGAAAATAAATAAATTATTCCTGAAGCAGAGAAGGGACCGAACCAGGATTGTTTGAGTCCACGTCGAGATTGAGCCAGGGTCGTTTGCGTGGCAAGTGAATGTTCTATTACGCGATCACGCCTCTGCTTCTTTCTTCATTGTATAAAATTAAGACAGTGAAAAAAAACTTCCTCTGCCTAAAAACACCGTAAAAGTAGCTTTTTGCTCCACAAACATACGCGTCCTGTATACATTCTTCACAATGCAACGTGAAATACTGCAGGTATATTGCGTGGTGCAAACATCCATTGTCAACGGGCGTCAAAATACGTGATTATCATAATAGCTCCATGGTTGACAGCCAGAACCTCACAAGAAAAGGCACACACGCTACTGCGCCTGTTGCCTTAAAGCCGCGTAGTGGGTGCAAAGCAAATTCGAAAAGGTTTCATGCACGGGGTGTACGCCCTAGGAACGGGATACGGCTGTCACGTTCAACTTCTAAAGACGGAGCTTTATGATCTCCAGATTTTTTTGCGATATTAAGAACGCTTGCTAAGTGATCCCTCAGTTTCTGTTGACTTTCCTATAATGCTATTTGTTGTGGTCCCGCAACCACTATATAAATACGCGGAACGCCGAAGTAATGGGCTCTTACAATATCGACTACCATATGCTCTTTAATGTATACTTCAAAATACGTGCCAATCCAGCACTTCGCCTTTATCTAAATGTGGTTGAGATGGCATGCCACGCCGTTCTTATCACCACTCAAAGTACAGTAACCACTAAAACTACCATACCAGGTTATCTTTCAAGCGTAGACACTAAAAATGTAAAAAAGTACTGTTTCCAATATTTATGCCACTAGACGAAACACGTATACAATAGAAGCACGGACTGCTGTGTGCGCCCACCGATAGTACAATTATTATATGCTTAGTGACCAATGAGCATATAACAGATATACTATCGACGCCGAATGAAACCCGAAGAGTGGCAAGTCTTCGTGATGGTGTAGTGCACACCGTACATTACTCACCATGAACAGGCAGGCATATATGCGCATAGCTGCCGAACAGGTCGAGGGCGCCTGTCAATGGTGTTAACTGGACGGCACGCACTATATCATCACAATGACTTTCCTCTGCGTAGGTTTCATTTCAAGCTAATACACTTGGTGGATAATTTTGTTTCTAATAATGAATGCCCACTCTTCACAGCGAAGAAATTTGCAGCATAGCACCCGTTCTCTTGTCTAGTACCTATGGTGCAACACTGCTAACCGACAGGTTAGCAGTTGAGCATCTAATCCTGGCTGCAGCAGCGGAAGGTCGACGGAGGCTACATACGAGAGGCACGCTCACCTGGAATTAGAGTGCGTGGTAAAGAAAACAAATCAACCTTCACAGTTCTCCATTTAGGCATCCCACATTATCATATCGCAGGGTACCGATGAAATGCTGCAACAACTTAATTCTGCTGTATAATCAATGTTCATTCATAATCAATGTACTTCCTCATCGACCTAATTACTTTTAATAAATTCGACAAAATCATCGTAACCGCTAGTTGTACCATGCCATTCACACTCATTGGTTACCTAAATGAGTTCACTTATTCAGACTCAGTCAATCCGATATGAAGCCGTAAATTTGAGTGCGTTGGGCTAATAGTACTTTGCTGAGTGAGTTTGTAGGGGAATAATTTTTCATAGACCTACGTAAGTCAAAGTGAATAATTTTTCTTAGACCTACGTAAGTCAGAGTGAACATAGTTTACGAAAATTTCAGTGGCTAGAAGGTAGAGCGATTCCTAAGTGAGAATGTATTCCTTAAATGAGCGGATCAGAGCTTCATGTTATTTTTCCTCCTATGTTTCACCTGATTACGATCGTCAACAAATATGCCACCCGCACTAAGTAAAAAAAGCAACTTGACTAATGTGGCCAGGACCATCACTCATTGTATCTGCAATTGTGATTTACTCATGAGACGGACGCATCTCAGCTATTGAGTCTATCTATCTACCTGTTTGTCTACAGCACTTGTCTCTACTTCAATTTGTTTTTGTTTAGGTTGGATAGCGAGAAATCATACCCTTAGCAAGTGTCTCCTAAACGCCGGCAGTTTTTATTACCTATTCACTTTGAAGTACGGTGTGGTTTGAATGCATCAATATCAAAGCTTTTGATGGCGAGTCCAGCTTTGAGATTGTTCAAGTTTCCAGGGGGCATCAATTATGTGGCTTGCGTAATATATGTGGAGATAATTTTTTAACTTATCAATTTTGCATGCTTCTTTGTCTTTTAGGAACGAGGTGGTAGTGAGCGCCACAAAGTCATGCCAGCAATTTGGGAAACTCACTTCAACTTGGAACATTCCTGAATATAAGATACAGAGGATGCAACAGTTCCGAAGACGAAATCATAATATATGTCTTCCAGTTCAAGATACAAGAGTGCCACAAAATAAAATTCAAACAAACTGCAGAAATGCATGCTAGATGTCATCATTTTGCAACACATTCTAGCGGTGGGCCTTTCTACCCGAGGCCAGTTGTCAGTGCTGACCCGCAGGTGGCGGTACGTTATTCCGGCTGTGGCGGCTGTATTCTTAATTTACTAGATACGTGTGATATTCTTTTGTCTGCCTTATGTCTAAACGATAGTTTTACTCACTGTGCCCGATGTACAGCTCACGCCGATTGAAACGCCAGCGTTTAGAGTTTAATATTAAACAGACTCTTATTTGGTCAACTGCAGTTCGAGCACTTGAGCTCGGACTAAAAATATTTTAGCACCCAGATATGCAGAGGTTTTTGTGCGCGAGAAATTGGCCACAGGAGTCATCATTCAGTGGCACAGTGTAAAACAAATCGCAGCAAGCGCAACTGTCTTGTTTTTCAGAGATGTTTAGAATCACCGAATGTCGTTTTATCAACGATCAACCGACATTGTTGTGTGGGTATACACGTTGCGCTTGCGAAGACAGAATAGATTATGCAGACACCGTAACAAACTAGGAAAAATAAGAACTCCATATTAGGTGATTTTAGCAGTGACGTCATCGTGGTTGTCTATTTGTTGATGTTATTTGTGCTTCGGTGGTGGTTTCACTCTAGCAGTTGGTTCAGTTTTATTGTCTGTTTGTAATTTCTAGATTCTGCTTCTTCTATGTGTTCAAGCTGCAGTGGTTTCTCCGAATGAATAACTTCAGTTCTCTCATTTTACAGAACCACCAATTGCAGGAATTCATTGTTGATAAGTTTGGTACTAATAATTACTGTCCTACTATGTTTTACTTGGACATTTATTATGTTTGTGAAAACTACGCCATTGTATTGACCGAAATCACGTTTTAGAAGCTTTGGTAACATCGGCAATAATTTTGAAACACGTGGCTGAGTAAACCAATGTTCAGGCGTCATTCACAGCCACTCTTCTTTTTCTTTGCCGCACATTCTGGCTGGTTGTTTTTGAGTGGAAGGATGTTTTTCGTTGTATGGAGGAGCTGTCCATGGCTGGTTACTTGCCATTTCTCACAATGATGTTATCACGCGTCCCCCTTTGTGCGATAAGGACACGTGTGCCTCAAATACTGCGCTTTAGTACGGGCAGTGGTTAACGCACATGGTGACGCAAGGCACTACGATGGATTCCAGTGCCTAAATTTGTATGACTTATGATTAAGGCTGAATATGTAGTCATTATGGGAATACTTATAGAACGCCTAAGTGTATAAAAATAGATATATCATAATGAGCAATCATACCACTCTTGTGCGTCACAATGACGCAGCTTGTCAGTTTTTTCTTTCGATACATATGTAGTAAATTGTCACCTACTGATCTAGAGATTTTTTCACAAATCGAATATTCTGATCAATGTACTATATCAATTCTACAGTGGACAGGATAAAGGTGCTTTGCCTTTGACGTCACATTATGATAGACATCAGTACATGTAGCAGGCCCTTTGTAAAACCAAGTCATTCTTGACTTGCATTTGATTGAGAACAATGCTTCAGTTTATGGTTAACTCCAGTTTAATACTTTTCTCTTGGCATACATATGTTCAAACTCTTATTTTCGGCCTATTGTTGACCTGGCAATTTGTACTGCCCTCAACATGTAGCCTCACATTTATAGATGTAAGCTGGGTTTGTGGATGGTGGCAGTGAGTGAACTGTCTGGTTATTTTGAGATTGACTTGCTAAATTTTGGGTACAACATGTGTATTGTACAAGTCTTGCCACTTAAATTGAGTGTTCATCACTTGACATCATATCGGCTTTTGTCAGCTGCTGTTTATTCGAAGCCCGACTACGGAATAAAGTTATTCTAAAGGTTCTCCACAATAATTATTATTATGGACATCATAGAATCCATAGTGGAGGCCTCCGCAGAATTTAGCCACATTGGTTTTAAACGTATATTCATGATGGATTACAAGGTGAATGCTGTAGTAAAACAGCTGTGTCAATGTGTTATAAATCAGGTGACATTTGGTGCCAGAGATCACATTGTTATAAGACATTTTCGTAACGTTACAGATTGACTTCGCTCACAGTACCATAAACGGCTTTCAAATAATAAATGTGATTATATTATTAGCAATCCGCGATTCCTGGTGAGTGCGTTAAAAATAGTAATATATAATGTCGCTCATCCTAGAACATTGTACTTCCAGCAGCAACGTGATTGATGCTTGCTCAATACCTCTTCTGAAAGCTACTGCTTGGCTCTTCGTAGCGGTGAATTAGGAGGTAATTGTATCACGCTCTTCTAATGCATAACAACTAATATGACTGGCCTTATCTTCTCGTTTAATATTCGCGCAATTTTTATTAGAGGCGGCTGATCTTTTCACTATCTTAGAAGTTGTAACGGCTTTGAATTCCTCTGGCGACCCCTCGATGTTATCCACAGTTAATTTTGCCTAGAAAGAAATATTAGGGAGCTCGCGCATACGTATCAAATGGTTCAAAAACCAAACTAGTCCGCACATCGCCTTAAAATTCTAAGCCTGTTTGTTAAACAAAATAATTTCGATGCATTGACGAGATATTAAGCACAAATCCTGTTGACAATATTACTGACCATTGCAAAGAAAAAATTGGGACACCAGATAATGCTGTTGCAGTTTCATGGCGATGTACTTCGTTATCTGTGCAGGCAGTTAAGAACAGATAAGAAGGCATACTCAGACAGTCTTTGAAGTAAGCTGTAAGAGAATATTGAAAAAGTAAATCAGAGAAATTTTATTTCATCATTGTAATTGCTTATTTTCTGGCATAACATATGTGAAAACTTGCAATATTTCGCATGACAAACAAATTCTAAATGTAACAGCAACCAGTCTTCAGGGCTGTGATTTTAGTTTCTGGGAGTGTGAGTTTCAATAACAGGTCCCCGCGGTTATGTGCACGGAGGACGAAAGAGGCCTAGCTGACCTCCCTATTATCCCTGTCGGGAGTCTCATTTCGTGCCTTAAGCTTGCCCTCTCAGAACTGCCGTTGTTTGAAGTGCAACGTAATGGCCATACAGGTTCCAAGACTAAGTGAGAGCCGAGGACATCTGATGTTGCATACAACTTTTTACTTTCTACATTTACCTTTGCAAAGCCAGTTACTAAAGACAAACTATGCCTTAAAGCACGCCGTCACTTTATTAATATTTTACATCCATCGCGCAAGCTGAGCTAAAGGGGCAGGCTGTTGGGCTGAAAATTGGCCCCCATAATGGCGAAACCAGCACATGAATGTGCGTGTCTCTTGAGCCCATCCTGACAGTGACAACACCACTGTCAATCAATCAATCAATTAATCAATCAATCAATCATTTCATCAGTACCAGAAGACGTGGCAACAAGGAGCTCTCATGATCTTGACAAGGCTTTCAAGCCGATGAGTTCAGAGGCTGTAGTTCAAACACTTCCGTTATGTATCTGTTCTAGATAAAATGTTTCAGAAGACGTGTAAATTCATGTTTCAACACGTTTGTTTCAACTTAACCAAATAAATATTACCAAAATAAAAGTAGTTTCTCCGTTATGCAGGTGGAATGCTCATTATGCTAGACACAGGCAAAAAATAGGTGGAGGACTCCCAATCCGCTTGCCACATACGCCCTAGTCCAAATCTAGTAGGAGGCTGCTGTTGTTATCAAAGGTTGCGTTAGTTATTGCCAGTGTGTACTAAGTACTTGCATATCTGGTGAAACGGCCATTTTACAGAAAGACGGCTAGTTGGGCCATCGGCTTACGCTCACTTTTGAAAATTGGGCTGCAGCACATCAAAAGAAATTTAAGACTTTCTTATCTGCTTCCTCTCTCTGTTTCGTGGTATGGTTCAACTTAACTTTTAAACTTCTATGTTACTTTGTTAGTACTTGTGCTAAATCGTGGTATACACTGACTTCTGGTTTGCATGGCGTGAGAATTTTGTTGCCGTCACTGGAAGGCTGAGTGGTACGCACCACCTTTGTCTGAGGCACAGTATCAACGCATTGTGTTCACCGGAATGTACTTTTGTTCGTCAAATAATATACGCTGTCTGCAATGAGACAATTTTCTCGTCTTCGAGACCACGTTGAGGCCATGAAAGTGCGAAACTGGAGATGGTAATGTTGCTACGAGCCCGCTGAGTACAAGAGCACAAAAGTGCATCCCGCAAGCGTTTTTTAACCAATCAACGTTTGAGCTAATCTCAAGAATTATGTGAGCTAATTGCGCATAATCTGGCCTAAAACAGAGCTTTATGAAGGTGAACAGTGAGCGAAGCGCCAGTGTAGAGCTAACAACGCTGTCTGCAAGCTTAAGCTCGTAGTGAAACAGCAGCGTCAAGCTCGTTCTGTGACTTTGAGGTCGATAAGAAGTGAAACACTGGCACTCGGTTAATCCCGCTCTCTTTGATGTAGAACTTTAGTAGAAAAAAGAGGCTGATCATAGCATCAATGAGGCCGAGCAAATTAATTCCTATCCTAAAGAGAGCAAGAGTACGCGCTAACTTTCTCCAATCAACATGCGAGAAACCTTACACTATACACTAAATTATCTCTGCTGGACCTCAACATCAACTTAAACCGAATTCAACCACCTTATTCGCTGTCATTTGCCTGACCTTGAAATCTTGCCACTTATGCATCTGTGAAAGAATGGCTGCTCAACACGTAGACATAGCGTGCAGTTTTATCTGCTCAACAATTCACAGCTCGCAATGCGCACACAAAGCTTCGCTTGCTTCCATGTTTTCCAGTAGGATGAAATCCTCCCAAGTATCTTTCTTTGAGCAGAGGGACTTGCTGGGCGAGTCGGTTCATTCTTTACGAGCTTATGGCGCGAAAAAAACAAAACGAGAAAGAAGGACAAGCGCAGATGGACCCTAGGCCAAAGCTGTGGAATCTTAAGGATGCCTAAAATAAGTGAACAGCTAGTTTTCCTTACTCCGAGGTGAATTCAGCCGTGTTATTTCAAACACAGCATTCAATTCACAAACGAAGTTGATTTCTTTAAAGAGCTTTGCTCTGACTCGGTTTTCAGACTGCAGGTTCCGTTGAAGTATTTACAAATCTTCGATCTCCATGCGCATGACCTAGGCCACGCTTTACGGAGAGGCTATTTTATTGTAACCTTAATGTGAACTAAGCCAGAACCAAAATTGAGAACGGCAAGGGGGAGGCTTTCCTTCAGTGATACTCTCTTTCACCCTAGCTTTTAATCATGAAAGAAAACAAAGCTCCAACATAGAGAAAATGACAAATTTGCGATGCAGATAGGAAAAGACTTGCTTCTCACAATGCCTTTCGTTCTTACCCGTCTATTTACTGGTGTGAACGAAAGGCAATGTGACTGGCACGCACAGCACGTTAAGAAAGAGGGGAGATGTGTCGCTGCGTCAAATATTCTCTAGGCGATGATAAGCCCCTCGATGTACTAATAATATGCTTGATTCATTTTCAGGTACCACACTGCAATGAATGTGTTTCGTCCATACTATATATTTTTCATAGGACTACTTCTACTGACGGGGAAATGTGTCGCTGCGTCAAATATTCTCTAGGCGATGATAAGCCCCTCGGTGGACTAATAATATACTTGGTTCATTTTCAGGTAACACACTGCAATGAATGTGTTTCGTCCATACTATATATTTTTCATAGGACTACTTCTACTGACGTTTGAACACACCATCGTACTGGCGCTCAAAGGACGGAGGTGTATGTATTTATTCTGTTGACGGTTAGAGTATAATTGCAGTTTTACGCAGCATGTACTTGTAATAGTTACCTTCTACGCAGGTTGATGCACTTTCCACGCTCAACACGAAGTCGTAATTGATGAACCGATCTGAGTTTATTTTTTTCATAATAGGCACCATGTGTACCGTTGTGCTGCATGAAACATTCAACAAAATAGAGCGTGCATATTATGCGATATGAATTTACATAATACAGGTGTTTTTGTCACTGCCACTTTGTGTCACATGAAATGGTGTCGATGCTTAGACCACTAAATTGGTTGCTCACTGATGGTGATATAATCACCCTTTTCAAAAGCTGGTAACTTCTTTTTCGTGTTTTTGTTTTGTATTGAAAGCGTCTAAAAGATGGCACAGCTGATCTTTGTCTTAGCTTTTTTACTTAATTTTGTTTGATCTCGTTTAAGATCGCTTTTGCGAAGAAACCAGGTGCCCAGTTCTTCATCTGCTTTTCCTCTCATTTCGTGCACAAAGCGAGTTTTATGTTTGCACCCGTGACTTTTATGTTGACTATGAACACATCTCACGTCCCGAAAGAGAAAGAAGACAACCACCCGTCCGTAGCACGACACCACAAGGAAATCCGTACGGATTTCTCAAAAAGAAAAGCCTCAGTGGCCGCTAAATACGTCTCGGTCCAAGGTTCAAACTCGGGACCAACGCATATCCGGGATCGTCACTCTGCCAATGGAGCTAACCAGTAAGCTAGCAATTCACGGCCGCACGGTGAATTCATCGACAACTCGAAGCACGTGGACACAAGTAGTACAAATGAGTTCTGCGAAAACTCACATGAACACAAGTAGTGGGAATGAGTTCTGCGGAAACCCACAGGTTTCCGCAGAACTCATTTGCATTACTTGAGTCCATGTGCTTGGAGTTGTCGATTAATTCACCCATGTCGCTGTCAATTGCTAGCTTACCGGTTAGCTCAATTGGCAGAGTGATGACTCCGGATAAGCGTTGACACAGGTTCTAACCTCAGACCAGGACGAATTTTCCGGCAACGAAGAGGCTTTTATTTCTTAGAAATCTGTATGGAATTCCTTTTGCTTTTGTGCTACAAATGGATGGTTGTCTTCATTCCATTTCCTAATCCTTCCGCTCCTTGCGGGTTTCCGCCGAATTCATTTGCATTACAACTCACGCCATTCCTGTATCGGAAAATATCCTCTAAATGGAGCAGCCACCTGAGCAAATGTCGTTGGAAGACACACACACACACACACACACACACACACACACACACACACACACAGATAGATAGATAGATAGATAGATAGATAGATAGATAGATAGATAGATAGATAGATAGATAGATAGATAGATAGATAGATAGATAGATTCAAACTGCCTTCTTTTGTGCAGTAAACCCAGTGACGGAAGCAACATATTTTTATCCTCCGCCAGGCATGCAAGGTATGTATTAGTTTTACTGTTCCCATCCTAGCACGTAATGAAATAAACCACATGTACATCGCACAGAATTCGCCTATCGAAAGGTGACTAAACTGCAAATACGGCGATTGTACAAAACACCTAATTTAGTTCATTTAGCAAGCCAGCATTGATCATGTATTCTATTGTTACGCAGCCGAAAACAACGCAGCGTTTGGTCAATAAAGACAATTTGTCGGAGAAAGCTAGTCTTCCACGGGATATTGGAGAAAAAGGAAAACGTGCAAGAAGCAAGCAGCAAAGCTGAGCCGGAACAATAGGAATGTCACGTGCTTTTTTGCTGTGAGCGTTCACATATGAACGTATTTCAGAGTTGAACTGCCCGCATTCGACACAGAACGCCGGTCGGGTGACGACAGTGACAAACTAGCCATTTGAGATCAAGTTATCGTGTGCAATGATGGTTCGTTCATGTGTGCTAAACGCCGTGTTGAAGTGCCTGTGGGTGCTGAGAGAGATATATAAGATCTCGTATGCCACGTGAAACTTCTAACAAGTTACTACTGATTCGTAACTTTATGTTTCTTTTTTTAGCCATCCTACGTAATGCTGGGGTTCGCAATACATAAGAAATAAGTAATGTGACCAAACTTGAACCTCTCATAATCAAGTCATTGTCCTGCAGGAGTGAGGCATCGAGGAGCAGGCAGAGATGGTTCATTCCTTTCGAGAATATTTAAAAGTAAGTAACTTGTTCGCATATTAGCCCGAAGAGCAAGGCTACCTCTTTCCAATTTTGTGATTCACTTGAACATCTTTAAATGAAAACAAAAAGCTGATCATCTCAGTTCAGCTGTTTCAACTGGCTTTGTTTTCTGCCACAATTTAGGGGCAGGCAGTTTTGAGAGTTAGCTGGGGGATACGTTTGTCACCTGTCCAAATGCCTACTATATTTTGCGAATAAATTTAGCACAAGTAGAAAGTAGTACTTACACAAAGAGAAGAAATCATTAGTGAAAATTCACTGGAATTTATTGTGAAAAATTCACATCACAGTGAGTCCCTACTTACAACGTATAACCTTAGTGACCACTATTTTCCTTATTGATTGCTGACGGAAGCACTCTAGAGGCAAAAATGTATTGGAAAACTAGGCCTACATATACGCAACGCGTTTCACGGCGTGACATAGGCAGAAGGCGTCATAAACTTAGTGGCCGCTCGAGCCTCCTTTGTGCAACTAGAACTTGGAGCATAATCACATACCTTGTTGCGGTGCTGCTTGATGCCTATTCACTGACCCTTCGTTCACAAACCGTTAACAGCGTACTCATCAGTTCCTTCTTTTTTGGCTGTTTGTTTTATTGTTCAATAACTTTAGGTTGTTTACTGCACGTAGGGAGGAAAACCACACCGCTGCGTGGTTAACCTTTCTGGTTTTTCTATTTGGTTTCCGTTATTGTAATAAGTAGGGATAATTTACTTACAAATTCTCGCTGTATGTGCTTCTACAACGTGTTTAATTTATGAGATGAAGTTATTAGCTTATAAAAATTTAAGTGTAATAGTTATTGCATTATCTTACAGACTCAGGACGTCCTGGAGCCCGGAGACGCCCTAAATTATTAGGCAGTAAGTGCCTTTCTTGCAAGTGACTCTACAAAAAGCTACATATTTTGTCGCATTCAAAGAGTGCGAAATCACGTGCGAAAAAGCCCATGACGAGTAGCTGGCTGAAATTATACATGCACTTAATCTGTCTTCAAATGCGAAGCGTCTTAGGGTAGAGCTCAATCCTGTGTGCCGCGTGACCACCCTTGCTGCGCATGCGCACCCCCTCCCCTACCTGTCCTACACTCCCCTAACTCGCCTCGCAACGCCGACTGTTACTCTACTCTCGCTCCCCCTCTATCTCCTCTAGGCATACGTACCCATAGCGCTTGCCCAACTATCGCACATGGGTACCCCTTGCTTTCCACTTCTACGTTCCCCCTCTCTCACCTCGCATCGCGGGTGCAGTGCAGCAGTCTCCTTGCGAGTTTCTTCATTCAGAAAACCAGTTGCTCGTAGAACCGTTCACTGCCTACCCTATATCTGAAGGCACTGGAGCTTGAACAATGACGTCTAAAATTAAACCTCTATGATATTAACCTCCAAGGTAGTCCTGGTCGTAGATTTCGGCTGTGGATTGTAGAACAATAAAAATTTGCAGTGTGCGCCTTAACTAAAAGTGGACTGCGGGTCTCTGTGTCCAATGGGCGTCTTCTGTCTGTCTTTGCCTAAAAGCTGCGAATGGCGTGTGTAGTTCGAAACACCTGTCCATCACTGCGTGCTTTGCACCTCCCAAAATTTCCCTCCTGCGCAACACAACCATCTCTACCAGCGTCCACGCCACCGCCAGTGTAAGCGGTAGCGCCCACCTCTTCGCATCTACTCGTGGTTGCCTTTAATGGAAGATGTAATTTTTACCATTTATGGTCAAGTCTTCGCTATCTATGTGGCTTGAAATTTGCTGATGTTTATCTTAAGAAAACCATGATATGATGATCAGAGACGCTGTAGTAGATGACTTCGGGAATATATATGTATATATATTATATATATATATATATATATATATATATATATATATATATATATATATATATATATATATATATATATATATATATATATTAGGGAAAGAAATGTATATCTAAGGGCTCGTTTTTCTATGTTTTTACACAATAATAATGAGATCTAACAGACAATAATGCCAGGGAAAGTATAGGGGAAGACATTAGACCAAATTGTAATGTAAATATGAAGAAAAGTGGATGAAAAGATAACTTGCCGTGGGCTGGTGGGTTCTGCCCACCTGCCCATGGGGTTCCTGCCCACGGCAAATTCTCTTTTCACCCACTTTTCTTCATATTTACATTACAATTCGGTCTAATATCTTCCCCTACACTTTCCTTGGCATTATTGCCTGTTAGATCTCAATAATGTTGTGTAAAACACGGAAAAACGAGTCCTTAGGTGTACACTTCTTTCCTTAATTTATTAACGAGGGTCTCCTACTGGCAGACTAAGTGCCTTTAAGCTGTATACGAGGGACTATTGGTCATCTGCCCACTCATAACAAGTTCACGTGCTACGTGATGCCAAACAGGCTCAAAAAGAGTGTGCTACGCTCGCCGCCATGGCTACTGGTGGCGCTGACTGACAATCCTACGTTTAAATTCACATATAAACCCTATAAAGTGGCTGGGGGGATAGCTGTTGTGGTAGCTCAGTGGTAGAGCATCGAACGCGTCATTCGAAAGGCGCAGGTTTGGATCCTGCCCACGGCAAGTTATCTTTTCACCAACTTTTCTTTGTATTTACATTACAATTTGGTCTAATATCTTCCCCTATAATTTCCTTGGCATTATTGTCTGTGAGATCTCATATAAATATATATATATATATATATATATATATATATATATATATATATATATATATATATATATATATACATATATATAGTCAAGTAGATCCTCCGTGAACGGTCAAAACGTGGTTTATTTTGACGTTTCGGCCTATAGTCTGGCACTCATCAGGATTGAAGGTAAAGTTTGTTGGTGCTCAGCTTTATACAATCTCAAATCATTGGGGGTAGAGAGGAAGTGGGAAAAAGAGAAAAAAGAAAAAAAGAAAGAAAAAAAGAGAGAAAGAATTATAAGGTGGACTCTCTCCGGGCGCCCCTCTTCCACTCTTCCTTCCACTTCCCCCTCCATCACTCTCCTTTTTTCCTTTTCACCCTTCTGATGTCTGCGGTCTGAGTATGCTTCCTTTCACTAACGCATTCTTCCCGACCAGACGGCGCCTCCTGGCTCTGGCGGTTCGGTGTGGGGCAAAAAGAGCTTTTTTAAGAAGTTTAAGCCTTTAACTTATCAGCGCCCCATCGACATTTTGTCGTAGAAAGAGGGGTTCTGCGTATTGCCGCAGAGGCTGGTAAGCGGGCGCAATGCGAATTTCTTGCCCGCCTCTGGATTACGCGTGCAGCAGGGGCTCCCGATTGGGCACAGGGTTGCTGTTGGGCATGTCATGCTTGGCATAATTGATTGGGCAGTAAAGTAAAAACAGAAATAAGATGATAGCTGTACTTAGCAGGAGTAGTTACATTTGGAATTGTTTTGAGTTGTCCAGTGCCCATCGCAGCTGCAGTGCCGTGAACTCAGTTACTATTTTTATTATTGCTGTTATTGTTTTCTAATGCTTTATTAGCTGCAAGTGTACCAGGATTCTCATTTATTCCTCAATCGAGGGTGTTTGTTTGTTTGTTTGTTTGTTTATTAATACTGTCAACCCCAGCTGGGGTTTTTACAGGAGTGGAAAACAAATGAAAGAAATGGTCATGAAATACGTTACAAAATAGAGACATACAGCGAACACAGGTATTTACACTAAAAGACAAAGTTAAACACAGGCATGTGCACTTGCATTCTGCGCATAGAAAACAACAATTAACAAAGCGAGAGGCAATATACATTGACATCGTGAATTATGACGCATCTATTTCGGAGAAAATAAGCGATTCTAAAGCTGCAGAAAACGCCGTGATAGAGGAAGACATCGCGACTTTGTTTGGTAGTTCATTCCATTCTTTAATTGCCCTCGGAAAGAAGCTGTATTTAAATGCGTCGTTTCGGGTGGCTGGTGGCTGTATATATAAAGTGTGTTTGTGTCTAGAGCGCGGATCTGGAGAAATTTCAAAGAAATCTAATGAGTTGATTTAACCTGACTACGAATAATGAGGAATAGGAATTTCAAACGGTCATACTTAGTTCTAAGTTCTAAGGCTTGTAGGTTTGCACGGTTGCAAAGATCGGAAGCAGAGTGCATACGTTGATATTTATTGAATATAAACCTGGCAGCCATTCTTTGAACTTTCTCCAGTTTATGTAGGTTAGTGGTGGTATGAGGGTCCCATACTATTTTACAATATTCAATTATTGGGCGTACTAGCATTTTGTACGCAAGACTTTTTACTTCGGGTGTTGCGTCATGTAACCTGCGCCTCAGACCCCATAGAGTTTTGTTTGCCTTTCTACAGGTGACGTCTACGTGAGTATTCCACCTCAAATCTGGAGTGAATATTAGCCCTAAATATTTATATTCTGTTACCCTTTTTAGATCGTGGGAACCAATATTGTAATTATATTTGAGAGGTACCTTTTTTCTTGTTATGCTCATGCAAACTGATTTTACGGGGTTTAGAACCATCTGCCATTCATTACACCATAGTAAAATTTTGTTTAAGTTGTTGTTCAGGTCTACCTGGTCTCTCAGGGATGTGATCTTGTTATATATAACGCAGTCATCTGCAAACAATCTCACGGGAACAGACAAATCTGAGGGCAGGTCATTTATAAAAATAAGAAATAAAAGAGGCCCCAGAACACTGCCTTGAGGCACACCGGATATAACGGGTCTGGACTTCGATTTAATTTTATTTATTTCTACGTACTGTGTACGAGAATGGAGGTAAGAAATGAACCACTGAGTAATATTTGAGTTTCTGAATATTTCATTTACTTTTAGTAAGAGTTTGGGATGCGAGACCTTATCGAAGGCTTTGGCGAAATCTAAGAATATTAGATCAATCTGTTCCCGTCGATTAATTGCCTGCGCAAAATCGTGAACTGTAACAACAAGCTGCGTTACTGTAGATAATCCCCTTCGAAAGCCGTGTTGCACAGGTGATAATAAATTGTG